GTTTGTCCTAGTAGCACTCCAAAAATCCCCTTGTTACGCCGTACAATGATTGAGAGCGAATAAAAACAAAATCGATTTTCTAATTTTTGATCCGAATTACCCCTAACGAGTGTATATCATATGTGTTTCAACACAAGTTATTATTCATCGTCGTTCGACTGTCAATAAATACATATATTAATATAGGAGAATTTTCAAAAAGTTGCAGTCAACTAATGATCTATTATTACTCTTAGACTATTAAGTTTTATACTTATATCTGTAAGTTTGTTTTGTTAAATTTTATAACGCAGAAAAACTCACACTTTACATCCATGAAGAGTATACAATTTTACTAGTAAACTAATCAAATTATTGAGTATATAGGTTTCATTTTATTTTGTGATAATTGCTGAAGATACTTAAATATTATATAAAGAAATAGATTCTTCATAACGTTTAATATGACAGTTTAATTTCGAAAAGTACATAAGAGATAAACAACTCTGTTACCTTTGAGATTTTTATTAATAACTAAAAATATGACTCTGTATGATTTCAGAAACAGAAATTATTGATAATAGTATTCTAATTTTCTTTTCAAATTTCAATACTCCATCAATAGCTGTTTTGACACTTTTGATATTCTCATTAACATTAAATTATTTTATTTTCTTCTCTTTCTAATAAAGAAAAAAAAATTTCTAATTTACATAAACTGAAAATATTTCTCATTCTATTAACAGCTATTTTATTCCTCGTAGAAATATTCTTCATTTGGAAAAAGAAAAAAAAAAGAATTCATTGAAATTTCTAACTAGATTGGAAAAATGGATTTAAATAAGACTGACAATTCATCATACAATGATACTGGTTATCAAATGTTAATATCTTCATCAATTGTATTTTGGACATATCTTATTTTGGATATATCATCAACGATTTGTTCATTTTTTCTTCTTTATCAATTTATTAGTCGACGAATTCTTCATCGTGCAATAAATAATCATACAATTATTGCTATTACATTTTCTTCACTTGGTACAAATTTACTTGATGTTCCATTTTCTATAACATACGCTCATTTAGGCATCGTCTGGCCTCCAACACCAATAGTATGCGTCATTTGGTGGTTTGCTAGTAATGCGAATTTTACAACTACAAATATTTTGATTGCTTGGGGATCGTTCGAGAGACATATTCTTATATTTCATGAAAAATGGTTATCAACAAAGAAGAAACGATGGTTGATTCATTACGCTCCATTAATATTTTTCATGCTTTATCCGTTTATTTTCTATGTTGCAGCTGTTTTCATACCTTCATGTAATGATTCATTTATATTCGATTATATACAACCAGTATGTGGTTGGATGCCTTGCTATGCCAGCAAAACACCAATTGTTATGTATGATATATCAACACATGGAATTCTACCCAACATAGTTATTGCTATATGTAGTATTGCTCTTCTTATTCGTGTTATATGGCATAAACATATTCGTTATCGTCAGCAAGTCAAATGGAAGAAATATCGAAAATTGACAATACAAATGTTATCTCTTTCAATTGTCTTTCTCATATTTAATCTACCTTACCTAATCTATGTCATCTTAGAATATGGAAATATTCTTCCAACGAACATAGATCCAGAAATTTATAACTATTTGATTATTCTTACTGACTTTTGCATATTACTCTTACCATTCATTACTCTTCTATCTTTACCAAGTGAATTCTGGTTGAAAAAATGGCGTCATAGATTACCCATGTCGTAAAAATCGCTGAAAAATTACTGATTAATCGCGATATACCGAAACGATAATTGTGAGCTGAAACGCGATTAATCGCCGATTTTTAATGATATTTTTAGCGATTATTACGATAAATCGCGATTTATTCCCCGATTACTT